CCCCGCATGCTCAGGCAAACACCAACAACTTTTGAGCTGGGAGCAGTTGAAAGACGAGGTGCCATGTTCAAGGAGGCCTTCTACCGTTCTCGGGAGCTACGTCAACCGGTGGACTTCGCGGAGACCGAGATCTTGATCTATGAAGTCAGCTGGGCCATCCAGACTCTGACCAATCGTTCAGGGTACAGCCCGGCACAACGAGTCTTCGGTCGTCAACCTCAAGTTGGCCTAGATTCCTTGACCGACGGTGGCGAGTTCATGTTGAGTCCTACGGCAGACAGTGCGTGGCAGCGAGCGCATGAACTTCGAACAGCTGCCCGCAAGGCCCTCATCGAGGTCGATGCCAAGAGCAGAGTGAGTCGTGCTCGTTTGGCCCGACCGAGACAGGAGATCAATCGTTTGCAGTTTGTCGAAGGTGAGCCGGTTCTGGTGTGGAAACAGGGCCGCAGAGGCAGCGCTGCCAAAGTTGGTCCGTGCTGGGTAGTGCTCCAGCATGGTCACACGGTGTGGGTGACTCGCCGTGGTGAGCTATGGAAATGCAACGTAGCTCAAGTCTTCCGGATGGGAAATGCCGATCGTGATGGTTTGGAAGCTGTGCCTGAGGAACTCTTGCAGGCCAAAGCCCGACTGAAGTATGACTCAGAAAAGTTGATGTACAAGGATGTCAGTCAAGAGCTGGACCTCGATGATGGGTCCCAGCTATCTCCAATGGTCAAGGAGGAGAAGTCCGACTACCCGGCGGAAGATCAAGATGATGGGCGAGGAATATCCACTGAAATCCCAGTTTCGGATCCTTTAGTACCCCCTGATGGAGGTACTGGTCGAGATGGAGTTGCTAGAGTAGATGTTGATCGAGATGATGGACGAGGAATATCCGCTGAAATCCCAGTTTCGGATCCCGTGGTCCCTATAGATATATCGTCTAGCTCCAGTTCAGGCGGGTCAAATGGATCGTCTAGCTCCAGTTCAGGTGGGTCTTCCGGTACGTCTAGCTCCAGTTTCAGGAAGGTCAACACCCTCAGGGTCGTCATCAAGTTCTACGTCGACAACACCGAGGGCTCCCACAGGGCAAGCTGAGTGGCCTCCGGCAGGTGATGGGGCGATACTGCGCAAGTGGGTCCGTTATGATCAGAATCCGAATCGCTACCGGACATCCAACAGCCAAGGTCCCATGTGGAGCGATGTGGTTCAACGGGTCACAGTGGACAACGCTACTGGCCAGGTGATTCGTCGTGAGGATATCAAAGGTGATGAGCGATCTCGCGACCTTCACAAGCCTTTGCCAAAGCGTCTGAAGTCAGTCAAGACGGTGCTCGTGTACAAGCGAGTCGCAGGACATCCTGATCCTGGTGTGCCTCTACATGATCCTGATCGTCCAGAGCGTGATGATGAACCGGTTGCCGAAGATGCTCGACTAGTGGATCGTCAAGTAAAGAGGAGCCTGGATGATGATCATGGTGAAGGTGGTTCAGCACCTCAGAGATCCAAGGTCCTCGGTGCCTGGACTGCAGATGATGTGAGTGAACATGGGGATCGATCAAAGTTTCCCCCGATCGCGAATCATCGCGACCTCCAGCTTTTCTCTCGAACGCTGGAAAGCGACATGGTCTATGATCACCAACAGGTGTATGGGTCTTTTGTGTACCTGACCAAGAAGAGCGGCAAAGAGCTGAATGAGCGGAACTTTTCGCCAAAGGAACGGCTGATGTTCGACGAGGCGAAGGTCAAGGAGATCTCTGTCTGTGCTCGAGAATGGGAACTCGATTCGCTTCATCACGGACAAGGCCGAGGTGGAGCGCATCAGAAAGCAGCTGAAGCACAGGATCATGCCCTCACGTTTCGTGCTTACAAAGAAAGCTCAGGAGCTTGGCCAGGACTGGAAGGCTAAGGCAAGGTGGATCCTGTTGGGTCCAGATGCTCTTGAAGTTGAACGCTTCAGTCCTACTCCGTCTGGGCCTACTGTGCACCTGGCCTTCCAGCTGATCTCTTCCATGAAGTTCAGGTTGGAGATTATGGACGTGACGTCTGCTTTTGGCCAGTCCGATGCCGAGGTCAGGAAACAAGGACCTCTTTTTGCGTGCGTGCCACCATCAGGGATACCAGGCAAGGAGGAGTGGATGTTGGTGGAAATCCTGACGGCCATCTACGGCCTTGTGAATGCTCCAGCAAGCTGGCGCAGGACGGTGCGCAAGGTGTTGTTGAGCCTGGGCTATACCGAGTCGATCTACGATCCCTGCCTCTTCATCCTCCACTTCGACCACGCTGAGCGAGCTCGTGGCTTCAAGCTTGGCTGCGCTGGCCTGGTGCTGCTTGATGTCGATGACTTTGCTCAAGGAGGCGGGGAACGACACCAATGTTTGATGCTCAAGCTCAAAGAGCGTTTCCGTTTCGGGAAGTGGCGGATTGTGTACAAGGATCACGCCGAGTACCTGGGTCGCACCGTGCGCCAAATGCCAAACTACGAAATCCGCATTGACATGGCTCGGTATGTCACTGAGAAGTTGCACCCGATTTCGCTGCCGCGAGATCGCCTACGCCTCGGAGATGATGAGGAACTCACCGATGCTGAGGTTTCCATGCTTCGCGGGGCCGGGGGTTCGCTGCTCTGGGTAGGCAAGGAGGCGCGTCCTGACGTCGCTGGTGCCTGTGCGAGGGCCATGTCGTGGGGAAGCGGACGCCCGAAGATCCAGCGTGTGAAGTTCGTCAACAAGACAATTGCCGAACTCAAGCGAACTTGCAACTGCTACCTCAGGATTCTTCCGATCCCATTGGAAGATGGGATGTGGATCTCAGTGAGTGACGCGTCGGTGGCAAATGACTCTGAGAGAGAGTCCTGTCCTTGAACGACCACGAGCCGTGGTCAGAAAGTGAAACACTACAAGATCCATCAGAAAGTTTGTACAACTGCACAAATATCAAATACACCATCAACCTACTCACAACTGTCCGACGCAGAGCGTCTGTAGCATCACATTTCACATGCCTCAGCGGCAGAGCATACACTGCCAACAAAGCATATATTGTTCGCAATGTCGCGGGCACGGTTGGTGATCGCGGAAGTGCTAAATAACGTTGACAAGTTGAGCAATTGCCCAGGTCGGGCTCGAGAACGCCACCGTTCTCGCACAGCACGGTGCGCAGTGCAATGAAGGAGAGCATGCGCAAGAGTGTGTGCATGACTAGCACAAAACCGGCAAGGTCTGATGGAGTTGCCTCGATGACGGGCACTGCGCCCATCGCAGAAAGGGTGATGGCCACAGCGGGCCAATCCCCAGTAGCGAGCAAGAGCAGGAGAGACGTGCCGACCATACACCACTGGGTGCAAACTGGGGTGCGGCTGCCAGTGAGCATAATCGTGTAAAGTCTCGATGCCGTGGACTGCTGTTGAGTACCATGCATTGGCATGCGACGCTAAAACAACACGCGCGTGGCGCATGCAACCACCGCCGGATGACGGACTGGCTAGAACTAGAACCACGGCCTACCCCCCAATTTGCAGGATGGGAAACGCCCATGTGAAGAAGTTCGGCTTCCAGACTGTGAACCCATGAGCCTGGAGATGCTGCGGCGACACGCGCAACGTCCGCAGCTACGCATCTGCTTGAGATGGAAAGCAAACGTGCCCACAACCCCGCGGCACTAAGCAAGCGGGAATATCGGACATCAAACCAACCAAG